GGACCGGCCAGATCCCAGTATGGCTCCTGTTTCTGGTTTTGCCCTGCGAGCGGAGCGGGGCCGCGTGCACCATGTCGATCAGGTCGGTTCCGACCCATCAATCCTTCGCGTTCGCCACCCGCCAGGCCAACCCGCATTCTCGCGTACCGCTACAATAAGGCTCTTGATCCTTTCCATGCGGACACCACCTCCGGCTGTGCCCAGTTTACTTGCCACGACTACGAGAACCACAGCAAGTGCTTCTACAAGACCTGACACTTCATCACCCATCACGCGGAACATGTGACATTAGCATGCGTATTTTACGCCTCCAGCCAGCCACAGCCGTACGCCCAGGTATTTGGTATGGGCAGGTTACGCGCAAATTTGCTACTGATGGCCATCGCCCACGCGGACGCGTGCTGTTCTTTCGGGTCCAGCCGGCTGGCAGACGTTGAACGGAGGTCAAAACCGAGTCAACGAGCGACGCGCCTGCATCCGCGGCCGCTTGGGCTCATGCGGCGCGCCTCTAGCACACGACATCGTACCCCGATCTCGGGGTACAATCGCATCTGGGTATCGGATCAGATGTCTTCCACGATGCCTTCTCTCATCCCATGCCTTACCTCTTATCTTCCTACCCAAACTGATTGTATGGATCAGCTATGGAATATATTTGATACGCCTAAGACGCAACATCTGGTACGGCTTACCGTGTCACTTCCGACTTGGTAGTGGAGCTGGGCTCATCTTGATTTGGCTGGCCTTGATTATAACACGGGTATTCCAGGGCGCATAACGGTCATCCAATTGCGCATGCTTCCCTTCGGGGATCAGAATCAGGATATTGGCCTCACGTGACATCACAACGACCGACGGCCACGTCGGTCTACACGTGTATGCTACGACTCTATGCCACCACGCTCCTACCCACCATCAACCAATTTGTAATACACTATCCTGCTCCATCTCTTCGATTGGCAGCTTACCACAACGCGGTCAGGCGCAACACCCCAACATGAACCCTGCACCCATTCGAACAATGACGGCCACGTCAGCCCACATCCGCGACGACGACGACATCACCAACACCAACATGACCATGCGCTCCGTCAGGGTGACTACCGTCGGCATCATATGGGTGTGCCTTGGTCTAGCAGTAGGGAACATACAACGAGGAATGGACGATGTGCGCACCAGTGGCCCTCACTGGAATCCTGCTGGCAACCTACCCTTCCGCGAATTCGTTCGCGAAGTACACGCGTGGCTCAACTTAACAAGTGGGGCTATGACTCTACCATAACAAGTCGCTGCTGTGCAGCGTGACCTCGGAGGCCCAGCCAGGACCTTGGCTATGCGAGTGTGGTCCTGGATGATCAACTCAACTACGGCGTGACCCTATAGGGTCATCGCACCGACGGTGTTACATATATCCGGTTCCTCCTCAGCACCAAACTTGAACAATTCGGTGACGAGCAAAAACTGACATCAGGAACAGCCCTCGTCGGCTTCAGGGTCGACCGAGATGAACGCATATTAGCCCGGTTCGAAATGACCATATTCGAAGCGGATGCAGCTAGTTTCAACATCCCGAACTTCTCTCGATATTGACGCTCCTGCTGTTTCGAGCTTTGTGAGTAGGCACCAGGCCCTTTCAGGATCTTGCCCATCCCTGATATATGGAATCTCACTCGGCGGCGAGCGAGGGGGGGAAGTGAGAAGGAGAAGGCCTTCTCAGAAGGTTCGCAAGTCCCCCAGCCTTCCGAGAAGGTTTCGAAGCTTTTCCCGAAAACAAGAAAGGCTTCTCAGAAGGCGTGAGGGCTTCTGAAAAATCCCGCCGCCTTCTGAGAAGGCCTTCTCCTTCTCATTCCCCCCCCTCGCGCGCCGCGGAATCACGTCGCGAATGATTGGGACAACTGTATTTCAGTATAGCTCTCGTTTTTGATTTCTTGGAACGCTTGGGCGCTCAGAAGACCGAGAGTGTGAGCATGTCACAGATGTAATCAACCAGCGCTGTGGCAGATTATGACATTTTGGGATCCTCCTGGGGCCTCTAGGACGGCCTGGTACCCGAAAATGCCCCCAGGACAGTTCACATTGGATCATCTTCTGGCATGTTGAAAGTACGTGTTTCGAGCCGCGACCCCAATTCCTCAGGACAAACGATGTGGGGCGCCCGGAAAAGCTAGAAGCGTTAGGACGCCGCGGAAAGTGGAAGTGGGAGGCTTGCAACAAGTGTTTGCAACATTCAATCTCAAGTATCCGATCGGGCCGTGTGACACTCCACCCAGTGCATGCGTCTGTATGAGTAAGAACACTACCACAGCAGTGCACAGAGGCACATGTGCATGCGCAGGCATTGTGGTACTATGCATGTACAAAGGTGATCCTAGGCTTTCCAGAGGCAAGAACATGGGCAGAATCATGACCATATGCGCAGGGTTATCCGCGCGGAAGGTAGGCGTAGGTTGGTCTGGAACAGGGCCGGCCTTGGGTTCGTGGTGGCAATCTTTTCTACGGT